ACATTTTCACGCTAGCATATACAGTTTCCTCCTGTTACATCCGCTGTACATTCCCTTCTAACCCAAAGTTATTTTCATTATGCTCCCCAACTACAACAACCACTGGCAAGAAGCCAGAAATAGAAACACTAATCGTCAACCAAACCAATATCACGTACCCTACAACGGCCCTGTCTTCCATCGACCTCTACCACCTACCAATCGCCGACTACCAACCAACCCATCCAGCTATATCCCACCCCATCGCCGACCTACCTACAACACAGCCTACCAATCAAGAGGTAACCATCGACCTGACCAAGAACAGAAACGACTACCAGCCCACCGACGCCAACCAGTCCCCACTCATAAGGAGGAAGAACCCTTTGTGACGGTGTTCTTCCAAGTTTTGCAGTGCCTCCATCATTTGGCAATCCTTACCCAAGTCTCTGAGTTGGATAGTTTTATCCGTCCAGCAATGAAAACATCAGCTGTCGACGCGAATATTAGATCCCTCAATCGGACATGGCTCTGTAAGGTTACGCAGGTCCTGATCGACCATTACCAAACCACACTTCAAGAGAAGCTGACCACCATTCGTACCAAGTCTTTATCATCACCTGCCGTCGACCGCATCGTTTCTCATGCCCTGTCCTGGGCCCGTCGCTACTATGGGAAACGTCTCACTCAAGCTGTAATTTCCAAATTCTACCAAATAATCAACGAAACAAAAACCAGAGTAACCATATCTCTACCAACTGAAATGGACACTACACCTGCACCATCTAGAGCTACCACGCTGCCGAACCAAACCCCTAAACGAGCCCGAAGTTCACCTACCCCTAGTCCAGCAGACATAGGTAAACGCTCTCGTAGAGAGGGCATACCCCTTCTCTTTTCACTTTCAGACCAGTACCAATCACACCGTCGACGACCATTATATCCGCTACCAAACCGTATTATCACCAAACCAAGGACTAATCATTATGGAAACTACCTGCTCTAAAGAAATCAACCTTAATAATTGGATCATCTAACCTGAATCGAATTACCAAAATCAGTTCAGACACCGAAATACATTCTTACCCCCGTGCCCAAATCCATCACATACAGTCAATCCTGGAATCATACGACCATGATCCCAAACCTACTACCATTATTCTTCATGTAGGCCTCAACAACCGTGATCAGATACCAAAGACCTCCTTTAACCAAGCCCAGAAATTAATCGCCACAGCCAACAAAACCTTCCGAAACTCCA